TTCTGGATAGCAGTCAAATGCCCTAAGCACTATGCTGCCAGAGCTCCTTTTTCCCTGTTAGTACTCAACTATTCAAGTTCATCAGAATTTTAGGACTTGTATTAGGAATTATCATCAGCTGCTAACACCAGAGACCAGAAGTAACAGTGGCTTTAATAAAACACAGATTTTTTTTTTTTTTCCCCACATACATGGATGTGGAGTCAGACAGCACAGGCCACCATCTGGAGGTTTCCAGGCCCCTATTACCCCCTTTCTGCTCTGGCTTCCACTCTCAAGACTGCCTCATGGTCCAGGATGATGCTGGAATTCCACCACCCCTCCATTCTACCCTCTAAGTCTCTACACCATTTTCCAAGGTTTCTGACCCATGGTTCACAGACTTCCCCTTCACCCAACAGCATTCTGGGAGGTTTCAGCACCTTACAAGGAAGCTTCCTCTTCAGAAACATCCCAGCTCCATGTCCTCATCTGTCCTCTAAGGAGCCAGGCTCTTAACGAGGCTCCATTTCCTGTTCCTGTGAAATAAGAGCAGTAGACCTCAGGGTTCCAGCACTAACTTCCTGGTTCCTGTTTCTGGACTGCTTCCCTTTTTCTCTCTTATATCGCCTTTCCTCCTCATGTCTAAGCTCTTCCTTCTACCCTCCTGTGTTCCCTCATCTTTGAACACCATCCTTCCCTAACACATCTCCCTTTTCCACATCTTTTCCTCTTCTTTCCTGCTCTTTGCCCAATTTTTCCCTTTCCCCTGGTGAAGTATAAGCAAAGCCCTCACAGTCTCCTCAGCCAACTGCTCCTCTCCATCTCCTTCACTTCCTAGCCTCGCCCACCCTCTTCTGTTCCAGCCCTAGCTCCTCTTTCTTCGGCACACTTTCTCTTAAACCTCAAATCACTCTTTCCCTTTCTTCCCATCACCATAATTTTCCTTCTCACAGCCTTCTTCCCTCCTCTCTCTCCCTTCCCCTCCTTTGCCAGGTGTCCTTCCTTATATTCTTCTTCCCAGGAAGACCCCGCCAGGGACCAAGGCCTGAGCATCGGCCCAGAGGACATGAAACAAGCTTAAATGTTTTGTTTCTCCAAAGTTTAGCCAACACAGTGCCATCAAAGAGAACAAGGACTGAGCCTTCCCATTTTTCCTCTCTGTGCCCCACTTCAGTAAAGGCAACTGTGGTAGTTTGGTCTGTGTGTCAACTTGGCTGGGCCTGGTTGAGTGGCTGGGCAGCTGGTGGTAGTTAATCCCCATGAGGAGACTGGCAATTAACTCCATGGTAGGATCTACCCCAAGCAGCTGGGTAGCTGCCTTTGGGTATGTGGTCTGCTTCCTGTATATAAGCAGAAGCTTTTGGGTATGGTCTCTAGCCTTTGGCACGCTTGGACCCTGCATGTAGCCGTGTCGTTGCTCAGCAGCCTGCTATGCTCTGCCGACCTTGGGACTTACAGCGGATTTAAGTTCATGGCCTGGAATAGTCCACCTTCAGCCAGCACCCAGGGACCTCTACTGGCTTACACCACAATTGACCTCAGTTCCTCTCCAGGCAGCCTCCTCGGAGAGCCTGAAACCTCTTGAGTATGTCAGGCCAGGTGCCGTGTAGTGAATTACCTGGTATGGCTTTTCTAGCCGTAAGTCTTTGTAAACTCTGTGCTGGAATTTGCTGTGAGCAACTGAGGTGCTCCTGATTGTAAATGTTATCCACCTGGGGTATTTCTGTTGGGCACAACACAAAGCAATGTTCTGGGAGGTTCTAGCTCTCTCTCAGGTGCTTAGAATTCTGATGTTATGATTGGTTGGTTTGGCCACTCTGCTGGGCTCAAAAGGAGGCCTTCTAGAGACAGAACTCTCTCTGACCTCTGGCTGAGGAAGACATGTTGCTGAGAAAGAGACACCAAGAGACA